CCAACGAGCTATGGATGAGTACGAGCGTTTTTATCTGGATCGCAACACCTAAATAATATTGTCATTAGATTGCTACTAGACTAATATATACATAGACAATTACGATCCAGCCATATACACATCATTGCGAATCATGTGCAATTGTATAGTCTTCGACAACAGACTTGGTAGAGATTTGACGCAATTTAAAATGACTGGTTGTGGGACTATCGTATCGATATGCTGACTACCCCCTTCGCAATATGGTCTCACCGATCTATCCTAATACTAACGCGATACTCTCCAAGCCTTGCCGACAATTTATACATCCTACAGCCACCCGAAGCGGGTTTTCGCAGTTCATATTCACATAGGCACAGTAGCTATGTTCTTACATAATTGCCAACGAGCCACATGCGGTGGGATGCAAAGAGGTATATAAAATTCAAATTCCGTCTGATCAGTAGATACATGCAAAGTTAGACACGCTCTTAAATAAAATGTCTGTGTGAGTGAGTTCGTCCAGCAGATATACGGCTGTACACATTCTGTAAATTTTGATACAGGTGATCACAGACGTGTACATCGACCTAAAATGCTACCAATACCCACGTGACAGCCGCCTGCCATCCCAGAACACAGTGTACTTGTACAAACTCTGTTCAAGAGTACCCAACCGTGTATAGTTTGAGATGAGCACTGTTCCTTCTGGGGAATGCACAGCCCAGCTCTGCAACGTACAGCGCGCCTTAGTGCAGCTACTTCACGATTTATGTGCCTCCCAACATATATCTGAACGACCATGATATCGATCGTACCCATATAATCGGATACCTTTGTATTTCTTGTGGGCGCATTCGGCCCGTCTGCCGGTATCAGGGCCGGTGGGAGTGACAGGAATCCTGATGAGAAAAAAATTGGATGATTAACCAGGTGAGATCCCTGATATCGGTGTATTTCACTAACCGGAAACATACTACCATTCGTTCAACACGAATTTTACCGCGAAAGTTTTTCTATGTGCGGATGAAAACATGGTATCACAGATTTCCCAGGGTCCAGTATGAGCTTGTTTGAATGCATATTGTACGGTTTGCACCTACATAAAAGTATACTCAAAAGTTGCCCGGCCCTATTCGATACTGCACAATGGACAGATAACACATTTAGTTTATGTACTTGAGTATCTAAGTGCGCATTCGAACTGGACTGCGACAGCTGTATACAAACTTCTCGGATTTTCTTGCCTTTTCTGCTCAGAAGTACAAATACATTGAAATTCACACTTTACACGCTCAGTGCACAACCACACCAGCCTTGATTGACGATCGTTTCCATGTGCATATAAAGCGATACGGATCGATCAGATTGTGAATGGACATTTTTAACAAGTGTGATACGTGTGCGCATTTGTAATGAATCAGCTGTCACCTACACGTGAATATACACACGTATCTATGCATATGTGTATGAGTATATACATTAGCATATTCCCATCGTCACGGATACATACATACATAGAATATGCGCACATATAAATCATATCATCGTAATAACACACACATAAATGAACAAGTACAACCTTTACATGCATCAAAGAGATTGCTATCACATGGGATCTAGAACACTCACAGTGTCACATAGCTATCTGTTGGGGTAGAATAAAGCACTCATACCATGATTGATGTCCAGCATTTCGTCTATAAGGCCCTCGTACGTTAACTGTGTGCACAGTGGCGTGATCTGTAGTATCAACATATTAGTTCGTGTCAAGCGATACATATTTGTTAGTGTTTCCTGGTGCACGTTAATATTCGACTGTTTTGCAAAATGCATCGAAAAAAGAACAAAATAAAAACTCCACTTATCAGTGGGTATATATATATTAGGAATTCAGGGCTATAACTTATTTTAGGATTCTAGGGTCATGTAAATATATTTAGTGGTCGAGTTCTATATTCCCTGGGGTATATGTGGATTGCATATTCCATAAATATGTCCATGTGATTAACATTCGGGTCGTCAATGTGAGGTTCTGATGAACACTGCCACTCAACTCATCACAGACGCAGACGATCGCTAATGGCTTGCGGAACAGTATAAATCAATCCATACTCAATTGGTCGTGTGGGTGCAGTACGAATTAAATTGCTTCTTTTGCAGCTACGCGCAGTACATTCCCTCGTTCTGGGGAGGAGCGGGAGCATCACAGTATGAACCAACCTAGGTGTCTTACCATATCCACTCTGCGATCTAACAGGACGACGCTGTCGATCTCTTTGTCTAGCTCGTCGTCTTGTACATCTATCCACAAGGAACGTATTTTTGCAATTAAAACGTTAGAAATAGAATGGCGTTGGGTATAGGAGTGACAGAGTGATCACTGAACACGGCAATACTTTGATCACGCATCAGAAAAAACTACCTGTGGAATGGACCTTAAACTAGAACGATACTTTCATACATACTTCATATTACACCTAACAATAGTTTACAATGAGGGCGCACTCAGACAACACATAAC